GAGCGGGCGCGCTCTTCGAGACCAATTTAAATCAATTTAACCTACCACCCCCTCCTTAAACGAGGCTCAATTGGCACACAATGAGAAGCCGGGAGTCCTTCGGTCAAAGGGAAACCAACATGTGGTACTTAAATCTTAAAACTTCCTACGTCGCTTCACGTTGTCCAAAAAAAAAAACGGACACACGACAATATTCTAGATGATCATTGAATTCTTTTCTACTAGAGATACGACATCATTCTATGAATTCCAAGAACATCCCCTTTTTCTCTGTCATTAGAAAATGCTATTAATCTCAACTTTAGTCATTGAAATCGTATTACTATCGCTACCTGACAGATAAGATTCTCGACATAATGTAATGAATGTGGGAGAATAGAAAGAAAGTGAGGGGAGCGTAAATATCATTCGTGTGAACCACAGACCTTCCAATTACGTAATTAAATGAGTCAAAATTAACAGAGAAAATCTTTCTATGAATCATTCTAGACATGTTTGATCTATACAAATTTTTTCTATCGATAAATCGTATGATCGCTTTATAAAAACTGAGATGAAAGAGTGTGATGAACCCTTTCCGTCTCCTTGTCGAAGTTAACCCTCTTGCGCACGCGTTTCCTGCCGAAGTGAAAGATGATTGGCCGGTGATTACGAAAACTTTTCGTCGTAGGTCGTATCGAGGCATATGTCGCAATGCCCTAAAGGATACACAGAGGGGTGGTTTTTTTCTTGATCTAAAGGGCGCGTTTTCCGGGGTAACATCGGTTAAACGCGGGGACAATGGATATCAATTTTTTTGAGGGCACGTTACAAAGCCATAATGTTTTCATAGTTTCCGCCGGCGGAAATCGCCGCCGAAAGAAAAAAAATTGAGATGCAAAGTAAACGCGAAAAGTAGTAATCTGACAAATATCAATGAATATTTTGTTCCGATTTAATTTCTCTATGTTTGTCAGCGGATTAATCTTCTGAAGTGCAACAATTGCAATAAACATGAATTTATGTATGTGTACGTTTATGTCAATAACGTTTTTCTGTCGAACGAGTTCGTAACCCCAACGATTTACAAAGCAGCCGGAGGATTGACTCGTGCTGAATGGATTATGGAGTTCACATCAGATCATAGAGATCTCGGATCCAGAAGGCAGCATCGCTTTGAAAAACCGGAAGCAGCCGGCACGAGTTCGGAGACGTGAGCGGATTACCGACGTTATATTCTTGTCATCTGGCTTTCAACCAGGTAAGAATCGCTGAAAAGAGTGATCGTCGGAAATGTAAATGAAATTGCATCACCAAACAGACGCAAGTTCCAGGATATATCTATAATAAATATATTTTAAACAAGTAGATATGCGGAAAAAATAGATTGCTCCAAATTATAACAAGAAAGGAAAGGTATGATCCCTCGATATAATGGAAATCAGAGGCTCATTAAGTAAGCATTGCACTTAAGGACGCGCGCACGTAGCTGACAGGTGACAGAATATTTAAAAGTTTAGAGAGAGGGGATGTAGTCTCCTCCTACACGTTGCTGGCTGAGGCACGCGACTAGCATTGTATGCAAATGCGAGGCAGATGCGGAGATAAGCCCGAAAATTTGACCTTCTCAAACGGTATGATATGTCGCCACTGCTTCGCAATTACTTATGAGATTAATTACGAAGAAACGAGAAAACAACAAGAAATAATTTTAATTCTCAATTGCACAGTTTTAACTTTTTATATAATATTTTGTTAGATATTTTGTAGAACATTTAAATAAACGAAAAAAATTCGTTTAAAAATGTTTAATAAAGAAAAATTTCACGAAGTGATAAGGCGAATTAATGGCTCGTCAGAAAAGGCTCGTAAAAATTATAATGGGCGCGATCTTTTCCTTTCTTTCACAATAATTCACAATAATTGTCTCGAGAGACAAGAGAAGAGAAAGAGAGAAAGGAGAAGAGAAAGAGAGAGAGAGAGAGAGAGAGAGAGAAAGAGAGCGGTTATATCGTGCGATCTCGCGGTGCGTTTATTACGTAGAAACGGCGGGACGCGACGCGACATCGCGAACGGGGAGATAGTGTCATGCACAGGAACGCACTCGCCGGTACACGCGAGCAGTATCTGTGTGCAAGTAACCAGAGTGTACTGTCACGGAAGCGTACAATAGGCCAGTTTCGGGGACAATAGCGGAGGCCGACAATCAAATCAGCTCGCTATCAGCCACCCCAACCCACCAACGTTTATCCTTTGATCCGCTCAGTCGTTCGCTCGCTCACTCACTCGCGCGGGGCAGCAAACACTCCTGATTGCACACCCTCTGTATTTAAACAGCCTCGAACTGTGTCTCTCTCCTCCCGCCATTGTCCCTCTCCACCCCGCCCGATTCCACGGTTCCTTCCATGTTTAATGGGTCTACAGAGGATGTGGGGGATGAGAGAGGAGAGAAAGGGATAGATAGAGCGAAGAGAGAACGTCATCCGGTGTAAAATGTTCCTGCGACATTCCAACTTTCAAAAATTGATCTTATTTAAAACGTTGTAATATATCAAAGGCTTGGAAAAATATAAGGGTAGTGTCTGATTTCTTCCAGATGACTTCACACAGCTAAAGATAGTTGTACATTTCACACACTGAGAAAAATTTCTGTTGAAAATAAACGAATTAGAAGATTTTAATCACATCAATTAGAATTCTAATTTTCTCAACTTTTTTTAATATACAATTATAATAGATTCAATTAAAAATTTTGATTTGTCCATTTTTAAGAATTCCAATTAATATATCAGGTATTTTTTCCAATGTATATAATATAATTATGAAAAATATGTAAAACATTAAAAAATTATTTTCCATTTTAGGAAATTGCTTCAATTCAAGCAGGATTAAACATGAAATGTGCATTATACATATAATCTAAAAATAAATATTTAGTTACTGAATTGTGCACGAGACGCTTCGGTTTCCATAGCAATGATGAAAATATCAAAAACCAGAAAGAACAACATTTTACAAACAGAAATTAAGGAATTTGGTCGAAAATTTCGTTCTACTTAGAGTTACATTTAAGAAACAAAAATTTATTTTTAGATAACCTAAGTCTATAGTTTTAACACCTGTATGCACGTGGTAGGAAGTAACGTCAGAAATATATTTTTATACGCACGTGTCAGAGTAAACGCATCAAATCGCACGTGCGAGCAAAGCGCGGAAGTTGATCGTCGGACACGATAAACTTCATTTTATAAGAGTGAAAAAATGAATATTATCTATATATATAAATTTAATTCAAAATTTTGGAAATACTGTGCAAAGTTACAAAGACCATTGTTTACACTATCTAGCATAAGATAAGAATTTCGAAAGCAACCTGACATGCCTCTGTATCGTCAGGCGACGAATATAGGAATTAGAGGAAGCTGTACAAAACGAACAGCAAAGATCACGAATCACATTCGTGATGTGTATAAAGAGAATAGACAACATTGAAACGATTGTTTCTAGCTTTCGAAAAGTTGAAGCGATATATCCGCGATGTCTGTCCTCTTTCTGGGTTGAGATCGCAACTTCAATTCCGAGGACGCGTTCACCTCGGCAGATATGTTTGCGTCGTGGGTTCGAGTTCGATCGGAGCGTAACGGGCCGTTGTCTTGGATGCGGGTACCTGGGGTTGGGGGAGGCAACGGGATAGGGAAGGTAGGAAATAGGAGGTTCCTGCAAGGGACACTCTATTGCCAGCTGATTACAAACTCAAGCCATTGCATCACACGATTAGTCAATTAATACTCGTTCTTTTATAATGAATATTGTATAATTCTGAAAATTAAATATTTTTGTTCGACAGACAATTAAAATATACAGTATTAAAATATCATTTGATCTATCGTCAAATGTTAAATAATTTTAGTGTAATTAACAAATTAAATACAATCTAAAAATAATTATAAACTATAAATAAGCTCGATTAAACTTTGTTACTATTCTATTCCTTCTGTAATTCCCTCACAAATAATTAATAAATAAAATATAATCTCTAATATTTAATAATTGTGAATTATAAATAAGTTCGATTTAAGCTTTGTTACTATTCCATTTGACATTTCTGTTACTCTTTCATAAATAATTAAGTTCGTTAAAATAAAACTAACATTACATAAAAAAGACTCTTTCTCTATTAAATTTTATTAATTTCTTCATAATCTATTTAATATTTGCAAATATATCACTTGCTTGTTTCACAGGTTAGAGGTGTGAAACTTCCAAAACTGCTATCATTTTCCGTGCAAATCTCGATGTATCGAAACAGAGCAGCCTTAGACCACGAAGTTCGAGAGAAATCCCGTTGCCACAGAGAGGAACCTCCTGTGATCGATTCCTCCGTGGGTCGAGAGGGGTTGCTATCGTCGATTAGGCACCCTCAAAAGGGAAGCAGTCGGCGATTGGTTAGCCACCGCCACTCCCATAGGCGGTGCCTGCCGACATATGGTGGCAACCACGGTATAACTCGCGTTCTGCCACGCACAACGTGTCTGGAGTCCAGCTAAGTTTCTACCGTGGTGGAGCTGCCTCAGTTCACGCAGCGACGTCGTGCCGCACGCATCGGCACGCACCTGTTCGTTCCGAAGCAAACGTCAAAATTGATCCACAGACGCCTGCGAGAATCTTGACTAAGTCACTTCTTGCTTACAACAATCCAGTTATAAGTAAAAAGGCCTAAGAAACGTCATTATATGCAATATGAATCTACAAGCAATTGTAAATTCATCAACTGTCAAAATGATAAATTATAGAAAAACTGATCATTTTCTATGATATCGTGAGGGTGATCGAAATGTTTGAAGATATAAAAAAACTGTCTTTAAGTGAAGTGCAGTCTTCTCGTGTTCCATCGGTGACCCGAAGTGGCGCGTTTCTGCAGTTGTGATAAATCAACGGAAGATCGCTCACAGTGATCGCGAATCATTTATTGTGGCTGATCAACAAAGCACCGAGATATCAATTACGAAACCGCATCGACTATGGTAGTTTTGTAAGTATCTACGTTTATCCAATTTATTCAAATGTATAATTTCCCTTAATCGAACCGAGAAAATGGCATATCTAGTTTAATTGATCCACACGAATCATTTATTTCTTCATTTATATTTTTCATACGGATTATAAGAAGTCGGTTTTATCGATCTATCAATTTTTTCTTACTTTCTTCTCTCGTTTTGAATTAAATTTCAACCCTATGAGACACGGAGCTTCAGCAGATTTGATAAATGCAAAAAATTAGTAACTTTTACGCTTGTCATCGATTTCTCTTCCTTCAGATAGTGAGAGAAATTCAGCTACTATCTAATCAATGGGCGTTCTGCGGGTCTCCCATTGGTGTGTGGGCGTTATCACGAGGCCTGATTGGACGCTAGGTGTTCTAGAAACCCTTCGTTTACACATGCGCGCCTCATCGAGCCATGCACGACCATTCGTGCGCGCGAGCAGTCACTTCTTCGGTATTTTTAATTTATCAAAAATGCTTTCTGTCGTTATTTCATTTTTACTTTTTCTTTTATTAAATAGCTCATATTCTCAAGAAAAAGTAACAATAAAAAAATCCTTATTGCACAACATACTTACACTCTAAATCATAGAACAATGTAAAGATAAATTAATATTTCTATTTAATTATTCTACATAATATATTAACTCTCTATCTGCAATTACATTTTTACTCCGTCTCAATCTAAATCTTTTTGTCCAGCCCAAGTTTTTTTGCAGTTTTAACCAACTGTTTTAACTATCAAAAAATGTAGAAAAATTCAGGATTAATTTTCAACATGGATCACTTTTCTCTATTACATTATCAAACAATTTTTAACTTGATTTTATTTAATAAAAATTGAAATTTAAGCAAGAATGACAAAACTTAATTTCGCTTGTATAAAAAAAGATTCAAATTGCAAAAAGTTAATAATTTCCATTTCTAATTTGACTCCAATATTATGATATAAGCTTTTTCCGATTTATATATTAAGAATTGCTCAAGGCAAATTCTTTACGATCTTCTCGTTCGTTGTATTACTCAAGACAAAAGGACAATCCAGGATTCCAAATTGGAGAGGTGGCAGCCGTCTGGTCGGTTTGTGAAAACCGATTAAGGATATACTACTGCCTCGCCATTGATCACAGCCCAACACCTTGAAGACAGATTAAACGAATGTCCGCGAGTAAGACGATCCCCCTTTATCTCGAATCTCGAGAACGCTCTCTTTCTCTCTTTCTGTTCACCGCTCCAAGAAACCCTTTGAACCCGCGGTACCTTCGTGAGCCCCACCCCCGTCGTGAATCCTTTTGTGTCATGGTAACCGAATAGAAGCTGACAGTTGATCCGCGATTGTTAATTCAATGATAGTATGTAGAATAGGACAAAATGACATTCAAAATTTTGAATTACTTTTAGAGAAACATTCTTTCATTATTTTAATATCATCGACGATGTCAAATCAAGCATGAATTAATTATAAGGTATAATTTTATGATCTAAAAAATTGCGATCTCATTGTGATAAATTCGTGCAAATTTTTAAATTAAGATTTTCAAGTTAGCTGTTTGTCAATATACCGCGACATTAATTGCATAAGATGACCCATGTGCTTCTTTAAATTTGGCGCATTGAACCAATTGTACTCGCATCCTTCTCTTTCTTATTAGGGTATCGGGATTAACGCGATCTACTGAATATGTTCTTGGAGCGTACGGAATCAACAAAAAGTCGAATTTACAAAAATCCAGCCTGACCGGTTTTCTTTCGTTCTATCGCATTTCATTGAGCCTCAACATGTTTTGCTCAATTTTTTGTGCCATCTCCCAACTGCTCCGTCCTCTGCTATTCGAGATTACACGTGGATAGACTGTCTTCGCAAACAAATGGATATTGCAAAGATTAATATCAGCGTAAGCAAAATAACAAGCAAGTGAACATAAACAACTAATAATCGGTTTCATCAATTAGAGTGATCAGTTTAACGATATAAAAAATGATATAAAAAATTGTAAATACTCTCTTTGAATTATTTATTATTTCATAAAATATTTCTTCATTTTTTATTATGTAGTTATGTATTAAACAGATTTTCATCCTCAAAATCGATATAAGAAAATATAGATTTTTTACGCGATTGATTAAGCGATAAATTTTTAATTCAAAAAGATTCAATTTAACATCGTTAAAGAATAACTACGTTCAGCAGAAAAAATAGTTTTGCAACTGTTGTAAAATTCTTTATCATGATTGTCCTTAGTCTCTCATTGGATCTAAATGTATAAACTAATATTATCATATTAAAGAATCTTATAACAGTTGCAAAGCGGTTTTTTTTTCTGAACGCAGTCAATGCTTTCTGATCGATTAATTACACGAACTAAATTAATTTATCCAATTGAACAATTTTTTTCTCGGTGAGAGAAAATAATGAACATCACTTGATGTTCATTGAATTATCTCACAGAACATTAAATGCAATTCAAGTGATTTGACTCCTGTTAATTAAGTAAAAATTCAAAAAGGCATCGAGTACTTATCGTAAGCTTATTGTTTCAAAAAAAAAAATAATGTTGTTAATGCAATGTTGTGTAATGTAAATTATTAAACTATCAATACATAGATTAATTATACACTTTTTCCGAGAAATAAATTCACAACTGGAAGAATAAAGAAAAAAAATTATTAAAGATAGCTTAGAATTTTATGAATTTAACATCCTTAATTCTTCACATTCTTTTTAACTCAGAATAGAAACTTTTGTTTAAACATTAGTTGTATATAATTATATTATATATAATTATATATAAAATTTTGAATTATTTTACATTTACATTTTGAATTATTCACTGCAATAAATAATTGTTTTTGTACAATCATGAGAAGTATTTTTACATATTAATTTTATTTTAAATGTGAAGTAGAATGCAATAAAATACGATAAAAGATTAAATATAGGCAGGTTGTAAATTAATATAAATGAATGGAGCATAAATTACGATATGGGTAATATAATTATCGACGGTGTCTTCATATGGACAATGCAATCGACAACACGAATTAAAAGCGCGAGGAATTAACTTGTTTAGAAGCGCGAGATTAACTCGCGAGCTAATCTCGCGGAAAGATTCAGACGTTAGCTCTGTTACGAGCAAGAACGGGCATAGATATCGCAGAGTAACGAACAAGGGTGAAAGGAAAAAGAGGATGGAGAAGAAAATGAGAGAGAAATCAGGAGACAAAAGAGGAAGAACGAAGTGAGTGAGTAAGTGAGTGAGTGAGTGAGAGAGTGAGTGAGAGAGAGAGAAAGAGAGAGAGAGACAAAGAAGGAAATAGGAAAGGATAGAATGAGAAATTTCTTCTTCCTTTTCACGGTGTGCCCTTCGTGATATTTTAGTGGCCTTGTCGCGCGGCGCGTATCTACCTTAATATCTGAAATTCTGAACGTGCACCCACACCACCGACGCGAGATGTCCCCTTCTCTTTCTCTTTCCCCCTTCGTTTCTTTCTGCATCTTTCTCTCACGACATGACAGTACGCCAGAATGTACGCGTGTGTTCACACGCGTGTGCGTACGTCTTCGGCTTCGAATAATCTCGGCGCAGCATCGTCCGCCGATGTATCATCTTACTCGGTGCTAAAGGCGATGACTTTATCACCGATCCGGGCAATCATTCACCTATGCTGATTCTTTTCTCTGTTAAAGCTATCCTCTTCCCCTGCTATCCTCCTCCCTTCCAGTTCAATTCTACTTTTGCCGTTTCTACGAAAAGAGAGAGAGAGAGAGAGAGAGAGAGAAACGTTGACGTAATGTATAGTAAACGCACCTCGCGTGTCTTCTTTTCACTATGCATAAGGAACCATCAAAAAAGAATGACAGAATTATCACTTGGTACAAAGCAAGAAGAATACTTTCTTCTTTGGAGTCGATATCATCGAAATTTCACGAGAAATTATTTTTCTATAATTAATAATTAAGTAATTGATTTTTTATTTTTCTGTAATTGATAATTAAAATAAATCAGTAATGCAAACTAATATACCGATATTCGATGGCATGATAATATATTGTGTATATTATTAACAATAATTGACAATTACAGACGTTTCAATCACAATTTAAATTCTTATTCAGTAACAAGGTTCACTACAGGGTTTGAATTTAAAAAAGACATGGACTAGAACTGTTATATCTTCTTATTAAATCGTGACTCCTTTATCCTGTATTTATTTATGATTCTAATAGTAATAAACACTCATTTGTCCCGACGCTCTGTATTAATTAAGCTTCGAAACAAGCGTTTTATCAGATACAACAAATTACTTATATCATGCAACAAATTACTTATATCATTCTTTATTTAATCTAGACATTATTAAACGAAATATGTCAGACAATAAATGCCCGCGCAGCATACCGGTATCATCAAAATCACGAAAAATTATTGTTCTACAATTAATAATTAAACAACTGGTTTTTCTATATAACTGATAACTAAAATCTATTTCATCACACGGATCATCCCATGATGCAAGCAAAAATATAATATTTATATAATACTTTATTTTAAATCAATAAAACAAGCAAGTAAAAATTGACGTTAAATATATACACGATAAGGCAATGTGCAATGGAAGAAGTCAAGAAAGAAGTCATTCCGCCAGTCGTTTCTGATGCCGCGATTAACGATGCAAATGATCGCTATCAGAAATCTAGACGAAATATGTCAGGCGATAAATGCCTGCGTGTCGAATCGAGAGGCGCAATAAACATACTTTACACGATTGGCGGTCACTGCAATTGGAACCGCGGCTCCTCGACAGTGATCATGTCAGCATGAAGAAGGTTTCATTCAGGTGGTTCGCATCGTTGAAGACGCGACTCACGGGCGATGAAACGTTCTCGAGTAGGTGTTCCAGGATCGTAAACGTCCGACTATGAACGCGACTCGATAAAACCGACGGAAACGATGCGTGCATGCACCTAACGCGTAACCTGTGCGAGCACCGTAGGAGGCGCAGAAATCCTTTCGAAATCCCGTTCCTGACGAACATACATGCGACAAGTAAATTCAAGTGAATGAATATACAAGTCTGCTCGCAGATTTGCGATACCTAAAATTAACAGGACCGAGGAAATCGAGTCTGGCGAGTGTCTGACATTTATTCAAGTTTCAAGAGGTATTAATCAAGTTACTCTATTGTATTATAAATATCATCCCTACATGGAAAGAACGATTTTGCTGAAATACCTAAAAATATAAATCTGAAAATAATTTTATTGGACAATTAAATTTATGTAGAAAACTCAAGCAATAGTGCAAAAAATTTGAATCTTCTAACAAATTTGTTGAGTATCCTACATAATTATTTTGATCGTCTAATAAAATTATTTTCAAATCTATATTTAACTATTTATTAATTATTTATATACTTCAGCAAAATCGTGTGAGATGATGAAAATTATTTAATTTTGATCGCAATCCTTTCATATTTATTACGAAAATCCCTCAATTACTCATTAATTGTACATCAAATTGTGCATGATATTCTGTATACTCTCAAAGCACCTCTCTCGCAGAGATCAAAACTGTGAAAAATCTATTTGAGATGTGATATACGATCGGGAGGTCGTTGCACACTCGGTTGCAACTCGAGGAGTCCTCGCATACCGTAATGCCGCCACAGATCATAAGCGCAGACTTTAATGTCAACGGGGGAAAGGCAGGAGCTGGTTTGTGAGCTGACGTGAAGATACACTTATAAGAGGATTTATACACAAGTGTTTCTTGCGCCGCTTGGGAAAGAGAGACTGTGGCGACAAAAACCATTTAGGGCACAAAGATTAGCTAAATGTTCAGCCTTATTAATACATGCAAAAGAACGAATTAATCAAATGACTGCGCTTTCGCATGACTTCTTGTATGAACTTTCATAATTTATGTTAAATTCCCGCAAAAAAACTGACGTCTAAACTGTTAAATTGATTGTGTTCAATAGAAAAAGCAGTTTTGCAGAAGTAACATATTTGAGATTTCTATATAATCATTTTAATGATAACTCTAACAAAATTATTTTTAGATCTGCAAGAAAGTCGTTCTTTCTGTCCTTATGATTGGTTTACATTTTTAGATTCATAAAAAGTTAAAAACAAGAATTTAATCATATTAAAAAATCTTAGAACAATTGTAAAGCTGCTTTTTTTCTGCTGAACGCACACGCAGCTATTATAAATAAATAAGAACCAATAAGATTTATTTGCACGTGAAAGTTGTGAAACAAAGAAAGATATAACTTTTTCCAATCGATTACTGATTATTATTATTGATTAACATTAATTAATGTTAATATTACTCCAGTTATTAATAAATTCGTCTGCACAAGCACATTTGATAAATTCTTTTCGTGCACAAGCATATTTGATGAATTAAATGTTCGATTATCTGTGAAGATAAATGTGCGACCGCAGACACGATATACCGTCGACAAATTTCAAGGGTAGCTATAACGACTATCGAGAATTGATCTTTCACACCTCGATCTGATCGCAATGGATGCTAGGATTCCGGAAAGTACACTGAACGTGTTTCATGTCGCGCCGTACCACCCACGAACTCCCATAAGTATCGCGCGAAGTACAGCTGGATATGCACCATAAATCGGGATTTTATCCTACTGTTGCCGGCCAATTGCGTAATATTAAATTAGTCTCAGAATTCGATTCCGGACAATTTGCAAAGTCATAAGGTCGATCCTCGGTCGTAACAAAATCTCTCGCGGAACAATGATGCCGATTTGAATCGATATTGGATCTATTGATTGTGACGATGCAAGATTTAAAAGTCTGAAGTAATTTATACTTATATTTTATTAAAAATATTCTCTTTGCAGGAGTCGCGTGGGGTCGCCGACGATGTCAGCGACTGTCGCCGGCAACCAACAGCAACATCATCCTCATCAAGAGTGGGACATAAACGATTCGAACGTTCCAAGGGTAAGTTTCTTCTCTCGAATCCGACGAATTGCCGGGCAAATATCTACTTCCTAAAGCCCATTCTACAATTGCGTAAGCGTAAGTGATTGTGACTGTAAGAATTGACCAGTCAAATATGAGGAGTGATTGATCAATTTTTACAACTGCAATCACTTACAATTATGTAATTGTAGAATGAGTTTAAAGAGCTCATAACGGGAACAACATGTAATAAATTATAAGACAATTATAAGAAATTGATCAATCACAGTCGAATATGAAGAGAATCGACTCTGATTGATTAATTTCTTATATTATTTTACGATTTACTACACAATATTATTCCCATTATAGGCGATTCATAAAACGTGTCTACAAATCCCGCAAAAGATTCAATAAAATCACATCCTTGCGAATGCCATGATCTCAAATAGGATTTTGATTCAGGTAGTAGAATACGATTCCTGGTGCGAATGGGCGGACGGACATGTGAGGAGAGTCTATGGACCGGATTGCGAGGAAGCAAGGAGGCACGCCTCCGGTTGGGCGATGAGAAACACTAACAATCACAACGTAAGCATTTTGAAGAAGAGTTGCCTGGGCGTTCTGGTGTGTTCGCAGGAGTGCATACTGCCCGGCGGTGGAAGGGTTCACCTCCGACCGGCGATCTGCGATAAGGTGAGCGAAGCGCATAACGGAACGATAAACATAAATCTCGACTCGATAATAAATGTAAATTGCGCTCGCACGATAGTCACACACGTTCGCCGGCATTCTTGTCGCGACGCAAAATTCTGTCCGCTTGTCTGCGACGCGTTACGTCTTGTTAATAATCGAGGGAGTAATTCAAAATTATTTACGCGAGTCTGCAAATAAATCTTGGACGCTGTTAATTTTCTTGAATAAGAGATCAAAAGTCAATCGGATTTACACAGATAAGATGAATCATAATAATATCATAGGATGTCTTATCATGATTATTCGTTACTTATAAGTAACAAATGAAGTCATGATGAAAGAGAAAGAGAGAAAAAGAGAAAAAAAATATCCTTATAATATCATTATGGTTTCTATATTCTATATTTCTATGTTCCAATTTACTGCCAATGCTAAAAATCTATAATTTACGTGCACTCAATAAACACAGCATTAAGAGATATATTTTGTATACGTGACAAAGTTTTCTTAATTTTTAATTAAAACAAAATTAAAAAATTTTATTGTTCTAATCAAAATTTGATTTTATTGTAGTGTGTTATATAACATATATGTAAATATACATCGTTTACATATCTGTATTATATAGCCGTTACATTTATGATTTACTATGAGTACTGATAGTGAATTTTGGAATACTGCAACCTGTTTACCTGGATATCAACAATTCAATTTTTCTTTGTATTCAATACACGCTTCAACTTTGTCCGCAGGCCAGAAAGAAGCAACAGGGCAAACCGTGCCCCAATAGACAGTGCACCGGTCGTTTAGAGATACTATCGTGTCGCGGTCATTGCGGTTATCCCGTGACGCACTTTTGGCGGCACACGGAGCATGCGATTTTCTTCCAAGCCAAGGGCCAGCACGACCATCCGCGACCGGAGGCGAAATCTACATCGGAGGCGCGAAGAAGCGTGGGTGCCGGTAGGAGGGTCAGAGGATTGGCAGTGCTTTTAGCGAGAGAGGCCGCTCTAGGCTCCAAGGTAATTTTATATGCGATCAAAGACGTAAGCTACTTCAAGTAAAAACAAAAGAGAATCATAATAATATTATAATACATTATTATGATCTTATTTACAAGTTCATTTACAAGTTCATATTCAAGTGACAAATGATGTCATGATGACGTTCTATGATATTGTTATGACTTAATTATACGTGTTCTACCTGAGACATTTGGAAACATTCGAATGTTCACGTATCATTTTCTTCTTATTGTTCATCTAATATTAAACAAGAGATCTGTTTTATAGTTGAACTAGTTGCACACTTTTTGTACTTAAAGTGGAATGAGTATCTGTAATAATTAATATTTGACAAAAGCAAGAAGTTCTAGCTACGACAATATGTGATAAAAGAAAGTTCTAGCTAATGGAGTTCAGTGCAGCAATAAAAATAAACCTAATCATAAAACAATACAATAGATTATGGTTTCCGAAAATGTTATAATTAGCAATTCTTTTATCTTCCTCCAATTTCAGGATTAAATATTGATTTGATATATTTTTTCAAATTATATCAATCGGATAATATTTGAATTTCTTGATATAATTTCTTAATTATTTAATAATTTAATTATATATTGCAAAATATTTTACACTTAATTTAATTGTACAAGAAAAGAAAAAAATGACTCTCACCGTAATGAAGAGACTGAACTAAATCTTACAATCTGTGGCCGCGCCTTCCTGCAATCAATGAAAAGTCACATTTAATGAACAAATTACAATGAAATGCATATGTTACAGTTAATGTCACTGAGAGGAAGTAAAAGATCAAGCACGGATACGCTCGAGCAGTCATCGAGAACGACGCAACCACCTCCATTGATCTCTGATAAAGGTTATTACTTTATATTTGTTCTTTGTTATCACTTCCAAAATGTAACATTAGGTGTCTAATTAATCTCTATTGAATTATAAGAGCATCAATTGCTCCGACATGTATGTATGTATTTTTCTTTCTCATAAGACGACGACACAATCATACATACAATTAACTGTAAACGAGATGGCGCTAGCGAACAGATACCTGCGACAGAAACTGCAGACGCGTGGAAAATTGAGAATCTGAAGACGAGATATTTTATTTTTTGTAACACACTCTCAAATTAAAATTCTTTAAATCTATTTGAAATTAGTCAAAGCACACAATTTTATCCATTTACTTTCCTAAATCCTAATTTGTAAAATATCATTTTTTATTTACAATTATCGAAATCTTGATAAAAAATGAAGATTGGAATATAATCGAATGTAAGACGAGAGAAACAGAAGTAAACAAAGTTTCTAAAAAGCAAAAAATGAGTCAATGAAAAATTGAGAAATATAAAAAAGTAAACGCCTTTTCGTTATCTCAATTTTTGCCTGCTAGAAGTTTCGCTTCTGTTGCTCTCTTACATTGGACTTGTGCTGAGATTTTTATTTGCGCCAAGAAATATTTTTGATTAAAAATTTACAGAGAATTTATTACGAAGATTAAGACTGTATTATGAAACATCTTGTAATCGAATTCTACACTTAAAATATTTAATTTAAGGTATCTTTTCATACCGATGCTCGATGCTCATTTTCGGCATTAAAATAAATCACGTGATAGAAATTGACGAATATCAAATATTAATTTTGATCACATGACCTGTTGCTGAAAATGAGCATCATAGCGTCAGGTAAAAACTCAGCCTCATATTCAAGTAATGAACTTAATATTGAATTTTCGTAAACACAAGTAAAGAAAAAGAAACAAATACTCACTGAACGTCGTCGTTCTGTCAAACGTTCTTGCAGCATCAGCTCCGGATGATGTTTCACATTGAACACATACTATTTCACAAAACAATTTTACATTAATTAAAACCAACCGATGCAACGCTTTATTCGCGAACGATCTTTTCGAGATTGTCAAGAAACACGCCGTGACGCAACAAGTGACACTCGAAAATTGTAACCTCGATTTTCGCGAGCCGCAACTGTCATTGCGAAATATTAAACGAAGTATCGCGTTCACTGCACTCGTCACAGAAACGGAAGCGGATTCTTTAAAATTTATTGCTTCTTAAAACCATACTCGTTCGTTTTCAAATCGAAAGATTACAGATTTGACTTCGCCGACCACTCAACAAATGAGCTACGAAAACGCGCGAACTACATGCGTTACTACACGCATACCAACTTAGATTGCTACAGCGGCCTGTGATTGGCTAGCTTTAAATCCTCGCATTTCAAAAACTACCGCGTACTTTGAACAAAGATAACATAATTGAGTAAACACAACGACTTTTATCAGTCAGTTTCTCTGCTGTAATATCTCGAGTCAAATTTTGGGAGTCTGTACATAAAATGCATTGAATTTTGATAAAATTTCAATTTTCAACTTGCAAAATTTATTACTATTAAAATCAAATCTGCAGTAAACCGCGGAAATTGCACTTACTCGCCTACTTCTTATAAATTGTAATTGGAGAATGAAAAATAAATTGTTATTTACATATATCATAAATAACAATTATTATATGTTTTATTAACTCTCTTTGCAATCTGGATCTTTTTTGACACAAGCAGAATTTCACTTTGAATTTTCATCTTTATTTTGCTCAATTTTAATTGTTATTAAATTAAAAACTTGAATTAAAAAATCACTTAGTAATATAAAGAGATATTAAAAATAACTCCGAATATTTTCACATTTTTATTTAAAAACCTAGAATAGTAAAAAAAACTTGAGTTGAACAAAAGAACTCAAATTAAAAAAAAAACAAAGAGTGTAAAAAATATGATTGCAGTAGACGAAGGGTTAAAAAATTATATGTTTTATTAATAATAAATTTCGAATAATAATAAAATTATTGTAGGATACTCATGTTCGTGCCCGCCCTTCGAGTGCATGTGCTCGCTGCAGACGAATGTACCGTCGTATCCACAGTCTCATCATCATCAAACAACGATATATCCTCAACAGTTGCCTCCCACAGACGGACCTTATTGGCTGCAGGATGTTCCGCCACAAGAAAACCCCGTTGGTTACTGTTTGCCAAATCAGGTTCCTCAAGAAGCGTCTTATGGCGACTTTCCACCTTTCACAGGCGATCTCTTTCAACCGGAAGAAATCTTTCAACTGGATCAACCCTTGAGGCCGGATTTTTCAGCGAATCTCCAGGACGTAGCTCGTTCACCCCCAACTTTACTCGACCTCGGCAGCGGAACCATTAAGTACGAAATGAAACAAAATCAAGATCAGGGTTACTGGAACCAGTTTCTCAGCGAAGACTCCAGCAGCAGTCACCTGAGTCTGCCTCAGGATGAGAGACTCCATTTCGCCAACTTCGAGCCTGAGAAAGTCTCTAACGGCTTTACTTCCAGGCGAACGATGCATCAGCATCATTATGTTCAAGAAAAGAATCAAAATCAGCCCGCAAGCAACGTTTTGAGCTACCAAAATTATCCCCGATCGCAGAGTCAAAAAGGTTTTATCGATGGAAACACAAAAGATGAACATGAGCAATCTTATTGGCCTCAAGATCAACAAGATAACAGACTACATTTGGAAAATTTCGAAGTCAAGGAGGAAGATCTCTTATCTTCACGTAGAGAAGTCGAGTGCTACAAGAACAGTTGTCAACCTCCGATGGTGAGCAGAACGGAATACAGCCTCTATCAAAAACCGAAGAGTGAAGATCTACAGGAGACAGTGCGACGCAACTGTAGCCCCGAAAGCAAACCGTATCATCCTTTCGATAGTTATCACCAAATGTTCGAACACGGTGATGCTAAAAACCAGCCACATAACCGCGTCATTCATCAAAATTCGATCCGGACGAATCTGGACGAAAGACTTCAGAGTTGTTACGGCAATCAAGAGACATCGGAAACTACAGAAAAGCTGTTTCACAACTCTGGCATAGCGGAAACGTCGGTTCAATCTCGAAATAGTCCCGAATCCTTCTTCTATCCCAGCAATGAACGTTGTCATTACACCTGTGAGATCCTTGAACGGGTGCCACAGATGATGAGCGCCGGACCGGCTCACGGAACAGTTAACAGCTACAGCGATCCGGCTACCACTGACTTGGATTTGCCGCCCTTTGTAGATTATACACTAGTCGGGATGCTGTGCAGCTCCACGGACGAGGAGACGACGAACCTGCTGCCAGGATGTCCTCAGGACTCGCACAACTACATTCCTCATCATTAGAGAACATTCTCGCTGCTCCTTTATTCATTTGTATTATATAAATAAATATAATATAGTGTTGCACTTTCTCTCCGAACTGACAGACCTGTTTATTTGCACATAATTTATTAAATTACTGCAAAAGTTGTTTTTCCATCAATTTTTCTTTGAATATTAAAGTAGTATTGAAGATAATCAGAGCTTTCCAAAAAATATTATCGAAACTACATTTTGTATCCGTTTAATACATCTGAAAGTATTTCACGAGATTTCTTCGATCAGATTTAACATAAGTTTCAATAATCGTGGAAGGTGGAAAAAGAATGAGAATAGAACCGAATGTAGCTTGGAAAAAGGTCACAAGATTTATTTGCAACTGATTTATTCGTAACAGATACTCTCACGATCACAATTGTTATGTATGTATGCAATATTAATATTATTATTATTATTATTATTA